CCCCGGTTGAAATCGCTCAGAGTAAGATGTCTATCACACGTTGTGTCTTATAAACGGCTGTTGACACAACGGCCCAAGGAATAAATAAGACAGACAACAAATTGAGAAAGATTTTTCGCAGTTTGTTCTCTACCTTATTTATTCTTATTGCATTCAGAGTGTGAGAGAAGAGTGCAGAGCAGTAGAGTAGAGAGAGCGCAGCCAAGATTTGTGACACTACGACACGTCGTTGCTGCGGAGTTGATGTGCAAACTTTTAGAAATTTGCAAACCATTTGGGTAATCAAAAGTCTAATTAAACATTTGGGTTATCAATATTAAAATGATTAGTGTTAGTATATACAGAAAAGTTGTCAATTTAATATGCCCTTGCCCGGGAATAAGGGCAATTTTCAAATTGAAACCGAGATAAATATTTCTGTATTTTGTGGTCTTTGGCAGACCTACAGAAAATACAAGGCAGTGATAATTGTCTCACGTGCAATTTGACGCGCAATGTTTTCAAACAAAGCAGCGACAAAATGTTTACCTAGAGTGAATTTCGCCAGAATTACTCTACAACACTAGCAAATATGTCCTTTTTAAAAATGGCAAATGTTTTAATCTGCCTGATGAACGGTAATTAAAACATTTTCCATTCCATTTTCTTGTAACAAGCTCGCATCGAAAGGTTATAAAATACAAGGCATCGCAATAACACCTATAAATAAGGCTGTATCAAAAAATTGATTCCATGGCTTTGCTTAAACAAATTAGTTTAATTTAAAAACAACAGATTCAAGAAACAAATGTTGAAAATTTTTTTGCAAGTGTCTCAAATCCACTAAAAATAGTTTTTGCTTTTTCATCTTTTGAGCTACTTTTTTGGAAACTAAAGAGGGTATATTATTTCATGATATTTTGGAAAGAGAATTTTTGTTTGATTTATGTGGGGCAACAATAATCTAATTTTTTTGACATAGTATAGTAGTATATACTCATACGCATAGACACACTAAAAACCCGAAATAATTATAAGGTACGAAATTAGTTTCTCACAAATTGGATCTCTCCGCACTCACCAGATGTTTTTCGCTAGGTCTTGGATCATATCAAATGGACAACTCTTTTGAAATGTAGACACACTCGAAAGTGTATTTATACAGCATATTACAGAAAAAAATATTTCATACTGAGAGAACTACGATCATTTCACTACACACGAGTGTTTGAACAGTTCTACTTCTAAGTTTATTTTAAGCGATGATTAACTTCATGAAGTGAGTAAAGTAGCAGGATAGCGCCAATGATGCGTTCTGTGACGCTGATGCACATGGTGATTTTGCCGATGCTCTTTGGCGAGCGCGCGCAAAGCCGAAGCTGATGGAAAAAACCAAGTGCATCCGCAACAGGTACGCAACAAACACACGCAAATAGCGCGCACACAGGGCTGCGGTGGCGGCGGTGGCGGTGGCGTCGGAGGAGGAGGGGTCACCTCCCCGCGCTCAGCGATTGATTGGCCCACGCGAGGCACCCTCGGGGCTCAGGGCAGGGCAGGGCGGGGCGGGGACGGGGGGCACCAGGCAAATGCCGGGGCAGCACCCTAACAAACGGGTCACAGCCCGCGCGCAATCGTTCCTTATCATTCCTTGCCCTATCGTCACCCCCTACCTAAGCACACGTACACTAACATTCTGTACACTACCACACTCGCACGTTGACCTGTCGCACCCGCCGGGCCGCAGCGTCGTGTGCAAAATCCTTCTAGAAACGTCACACCGGGAGAGGCTCAGGGCATCAGCTGATGTCCCTGCAATCCCACTGACCGGGAGGTCCTAGAACTTCACTCCCTATGGTGCCAGGATATTCGACACTAGCTTGTAAGCTACGACGAGTTCAGTAACTCTCTGTAGGAGAATTCTAGCGGCCGGCTGCTCTGATCGGTAGTTTTCCGTGATTTCTCCCATCAACACCTGGCGAATACTGAAGCAGTACCCTAACAAACGGACCATGGACCGCGTGCAAACTTTCCTACATCTTCCTTGTCCCATCTTCCCCCTTTCACACGCGCACAAACACATTAACATGCACTACTCTGCTTCACATGTCCGGAGACTTGTCGGGAGCTTAGTGCTTGTCTACCGCTGCTAGAAGATACCTGGTTGGGGAAACACGCTAGCCGACGGCAGGTAAGCGCCGGATCTCGCCTACAGCGGGGGAAAATCACCGGCACATGTCGAGCAAAATCATGTACTACACTTTACAGGACAACTGGCCTTAGGGCTCAACCTGTCCGATATCACTAATCAATCTATCAATAAATAAATGAAACCAAAAAACGTAGGCGGCAAGGGAACAGGACTGGGTTAGCGACTGGAATGGCACGGGAGGTAGGGCGGACTTAATGACGAGAAAGCGGACGGAGACGACTTGGGGAAGTGTGAGAGGTTGGCCTACTTGCGGCAGTTTGGAAGGGAGCTTCGGCACGCGGGTACTTGGCCTCTGTTTGCGTAGGCGCGGCCGACGTGGGTGAGCAAAAGAGGGAATGAGTTACGCGGGGAACTGGGGTGCGAGGTGAAGGGGTTGCAAATGGCGAGGAGGGAGGGAGCGGGTGTATAGGGGTGGGGCAATGCCGCAGGGAACACGTTGCGGTGCCGTATAAGCGCGAGCTCATTGGCCGACGCTACCCACGTGCACGAAAAAGCGACGGGACGTGGCGACTGAAATGGAACGGAAAGCAGAGTGCATCATGCGAGAGGACGCTAACGCGGTGCCAATAGTTTGCACTGGCGTGGCGCGTAATGGAAGAGGCGGGGAAAGGGAAGCGAGACGGTCGCTTACGGATGCATCTACGACCGCAGCTCCACTTGCCTTCGCAAAAGCACCCGAATCAAGATGTCTTAATGACGCTTGTTAGGGCTCATATGCAGAGAACTGTGATGCACGATTCGATTAAGTCTCGGCGTTAAAGCTAGAATACGACACTAACTACGAAATGCAATGAGCAATATTCACAAAAAAGAGAGGTGGGAATACAATGAAGAAAGAGGATGCCAAAATTGACGCATATCGACAGGAGAATTGGATGCAAAGAGTGTTCAATTAGAAGGAAGAAGGGGACAGTCGGTTTTGTAAGCCCCCGCGAAAACAAAAGAAGAAAAAAGGAAATCCGGATAAACCAAACAAAAAGACACATAGAAATAACAAAACGAGGTCAATATTAGGGAGAGGTATGAGAGGTTCCAGTGGAGCAAGCGAGTGGAAAGTGACGGTAAGGGGAAAAGCTCCGGTGCTGGCTAGGGCGCATACGACACAGAGTTGCCAGGTTAGAGGCTTCCTCAGTAAATTTAGTTGTTTTTCTGTTCTTCAGGGGATTTCTGCGGAGCAAATTTATTTGAGGGGGGTTGGGGATTTTCGTTGAATTTTTTAAACGCTAAATTTTTTAGATAAACATATTGTTTGTCATAAAATTACCAAACCCAGATATAGTTCCCTATTATTTTTGAAGGCGTATTTTTCAAATACCACAAAATTTAGTAAAAACACTTAGGCGTATAATATTATGTGAATGAATTCTCTAGTTTAAAATTAGGTTGCTATTTGTCACAACTAAAGATTGGTAGAAAAAGGCAACACATTTGATGGAAAGGCAAAAACTCGCTGTAATAAACAAGTAATGGAAAGAACGATTTTGGTTGAAGAAAAGTTTTAAAAGAGTTATCATTATTTGTAGTCATTACAATGAGTGAGACCGAGATATCTTTTAAGTGTTATAACTTGTACACAGTGTGAACCTTCTTATAACAAAACCTATACAATACATGTATGTACATTATTATATAAATAGTCGTTATGCTTATTTTTATGCATTACAAATATAGGTGTTCACTGTAAAACATAAATATTATCATATATAATAAATACTTTTCGTATTTTTTTGAAATTTCCGTACTCATTTTAAAACTGAACATATTTTTTTTAATTTTTTTTTGACGGTTTGGTTTTTGTAGCGCATTCTAGTGGTAAATGATTACGACCACCTGGCAACACCGATACGACAGAACACGAGGGCACGCAGGGGAGGCGGTGGCGCGGAGGTCGTGGGTTTTAATTCGCAACCGAAGGGCGGTGGGGCGGGATCAAGGAGAGTTGCGGGAGAATACGATGCAGCAAACATTAATACTGTGGTTCTCGAGCGTGTGTGGCCTAACCACACCCGTGAATGACACTGAGGGAGGAAACACTGACGAGGTGGTAGGAGGAATGGATAGAAAGACTGTTCAACTACGAAACACCAGCTGTTATTGCGCTCGAACCACAAAACATCCCGCATGGGTCGACGGGGATCCGAATCTTGGTCCCTTGAAGCGTCTGAAATCGGCTCCGTGGCGCATCAGAACAGTTGAAGCAGTGGCGGTGAAACGGGTTGGGAGCTGCGGCTGCAATAAGAGCATGCGGGTTGACGGCAGAAGCAATAGTCGTCGATTGGAGCGACTGGCGACGGAGGTGAAGCGAGCTATTGTGGTGAGGCAGCGCAGCCTTGCACCCCTGGCCGCTTTCACTCCGCCTGAGCCATGCTGGCATAGTGTCCTGTGTCCAGGCGGCCCGCCCTCCACCCACGCATCCCCGATCCAGGACAACCACCCCCCTCCACTGCCGAAAGGATGGACTGACCTGGCGGTATATACAAGGCCGTGTACGGCCACCGAAGCTGTTGCTTGTTTCCCGCCCTTCGTGAGCGCGGTAGTGATCGCTGGCGTCGCAGTCTACGGCTGCCTTCGTGTTTGACGGAGGTGGGAATCGACGGAAGGCCGAACCCAGCGACTCACAGCCTAGTTGCCTTCACCGCCGCCGCAGCCTGCCGCACCTCCCCAACCCTGCTCATGGCAACGACTGACTGAGTGCGTATCGTCTGCTAGAATGCGACCGTGTACTTGAAACAAGGGTTACGTCGCAACAAAATAAACATCTTTTAAAAATCAACCTGGAGTTCATATTTCTTCCGTTACCTACTCCCTCTCATCATGTCATCACGACCGGATGTTGCCTTTTGTTGGGATCATGATGTTGCATTCTGCAGCGACAGGGAGAAGCGATAACTGGAGTGATTGGCGATGGAGATGCAAGCGGAGGTGGGTGAGCTGTATTTGCGACGAGGATGGAGACGGGGACGGAGGCAGAGACTAAGACGCAGGTGGAAACCGGCCGTGATGGAGGTGGGAACGGGGACGACAGGGAGAGGACACAACTCTGAACTTCATATATTTACTTTTTTCTTCTACAGTAATTCTATTTTGCATTTCAATAAGGATTTGGACAGCGAAATGTCACCAAGAACTACTAAATTCATGACATTTTCGAATGTTCGTCAAATCCTGGAATAAAAGAAAAGAAACAGATAATTTAATCAAAGCTTGAAAACAAACTTCGTAATCACAGATAAATATGTTCTTAATTACTTATATGCTGAATTATATTTTAATTTCAAAAGAAAATGAGAATCTTATTCGCAGAAATAGTTTTTTTGTGCAAAGAAGACGACAAACATGAAAAACATTGAACAGGGAGGAACTGAATGTGGTTCTCACTCCGTCGTCCAACAAAATTTGATAACCCTGTGGGTAAATTAACTTTTGTGTAACAGTTAATCAAGTTCAAATTAAATAATTTGCGCGCCTCCGACCGTGCGGTGCTGCGTGACCCGCGCCAGAGGGCGCTCAATTAAATAAATGAATTGCGCTCCCACACACACACTGGCCTAAGAATAAACATTTTGTTATGAACGGCCCTCCAAACGCCATACAAACACTATTCCATGACTGAATTATTGTAAGTAAATTGTGTTAAGATCACCAGTGATAGAATAATATTTTATACATATTCACGATTAGGAGGAGGTTCATATACTTTAAACCAATTTTCACATTTAAAATTTAAAAGATTTGTCTACAAAAAAGTTCACAAACATACTATAGTGAAACGCAATAATTTAGAAAATGGTATCACTATTTTATTACTTAAGATCTGTTGATCACGAAGCGATAATCAGCATAGCTAACCTCAAAATACATAGAAGAATAATGAAAATAAAAATAAAAAATGAAATTGAATACAAGAAACGCAAAATTGCATTACTTAAAAACTTCTGATTGTCCGTCTGTGAAGAACGCTTTAGGTAGAATTTTCATCGAAACTAATATTTTTTTCTGTCTAATGTGGTGGCTTTTTTAATTTGAAACGGATATTTGTATTTAATAACATTTTTTCTCAAAATTGGCTTCAACTTCTGGGATTCTTTTTTTAACAGGTAGAGAAAAGAAGGTTTATTAAAACTTCGCATGTCACATTTTCGTTAAATTCTCTGTATTTTTGTTACACATTCAAAACTTGAATATTTTCTGACATCTTCCTACAACAAAAATATTAATATAGTGATTTTTCCCTCAAATTAAATCTGTCATTGAAAATTAAATCTTTGAATAAAGTCATGTACATTTTTTTAAAATAAGAGTAATGTTCGAGAAATTTTGCGTGCAATGAAAGCAAATTTCAAAACAAAACTTTATAAAAAGCTACTTCAAATTATTTATTACATAGTGTGAAGAAAGAACAGTTCTAAAAAATGGCGCAGATTAGATTTTCTTTGAACTGTAAATTTTCAAAACTGGCAAACGGTCAAACTTTTTTAGACGTCTTCTTGTAACTACAATATTGAAGGTAGATAGTTTCCTTAATTAAATCTATGCTATAAAATTGGATCTTAAAATGAGATCGTGAACAATATATTTTTCAAAATACGAGTTATTTGGCAATAATTTGCGGAAATAACGACAATTTAAAGAACAAGATTTCTTAAAATGGCTTTAACGTTTTTCTTTACTTTTTTCTTCCGATAGAGCAAAGGACAAATAAATATGGCAAATAGAAAACAGTATGTGCTATTGTAACATCTCTGTTTCAGTACTGTTTTTTCTTCAATATTCAGAAATTTTCAATAAAAATGTTGGAAAACAACGGGAAATTTTCATTTGAATTTATTTTCATATGACAGCAGTTTATAGAAACATTTAATATTCAGAAATTTTCTTTCCCGGATTAAGGACACTGATCTACGAACCAATAGGTCACTTGGAAAATTACGAAGAGTACCAACCGATTGCGCAAAGGGTTTTGGTTATTTTAACTACCCGTGAATAATTTTTTTAATATTTCAAAAAAAATGTTTTTAGTAAGTCTTCATTACGTTCCTTTATTATGGATGAACGCTCAAATAACTTTTCTGACTTTGGGTTTTTTCTTTTTTCCACCGGCCAAGTTAGCAGGCTCTATTCTCATGGCGTCAAGTCGTTGGACACTAGCGTTGGACCAGCACAGCGCATGTGTGGACATATCTTGGCCCTGACTGAAGCGTTGAATTGCGGACACTGAAGGCAGGAAACGCCGCAGATTTTTACAGGTCGTGGAAAGACGAGATTATAGCATACGGAGATATCCGGTGAAAAGGAAAAAGAAATAAAATAACACATCCCTATGCAAAGCCCTTCCGTCAAGCAGGAGAGCCCTTCCGACGCCGACGCCGCCGCTGCTGCAGCCACGGCCACACCGACGCCCGACTTGGAAGGGGGAGGGTTCTGCAGGGGTAGGTTCCGCCGACCCTCCGGCGACGTTGAACAAAGGGACTGCAGCAGGTAAAACGCAGCGACCGGCGGCACAGTGGGAAGGCTTCCATTTAAAGCTGTGTTCTGCTAGCGGTGGCGCGTACGCCCTCCTCCGCTTCGCGTAGCGAGAGTTCTCCGCCGCAGCAGCGCCCGCCCGCTGCACGTGGGAAAGTCTCCATTCAAACCAATGCTCTGCTACGAGCCGCGTCGCTCGGAAGCGCACCGCCGTCGCACCCAGCTAGGGAAGATCAGCGCCACCTCCCGCGATCACAATCGTGTACTACACTTACGGGACTAATTACCTTAAAAATTGACGCGCCCCGAAACATGATTTTTTTCTAAGATGAGGGTTTCCAAGTACGTAAATAAACATCGACTTTAAGGAAAACAAAAAAGCAATGAATTTGAAATGTAAACATTGCAAAGAATGGAGAATTCCGCAAATAATATGATATTAAGAAGTATGGGAAGGAAATACAGTAGTTGTAAGTATTAAGAAGGACGAAAAAGTGTTATGTATACTTAAGAGGAAATTATGAGATAATAAAGGTAGTCATTAAAGGAGAATTCCTGAAATGGAAGGAGACAGAACGAGAAACGAAATATTGAATGAGATAAAACCGAAAAGTAATGGTGTAAAATAGTATTTATAAATAAAGCCATTCAGTTATTTTTATTGTATGAAAAGATATTAAAATGTGCCCAATCATAGCCAAATAATATTGGTTAAAAAATTATTAAAACCATTCATTATTTAAAAATTTTACAAATATTGTACAAACTTGGTATTATAATGCACCTCAATTGATAAAGAAGATAATTCTTTAATCGCTCTCTAAAATACTCGCCGCCTGCTTTCGGCGAGCTCAAGGGACGTTTCCATAATTAATTCCGCAAACTGCTCACGTCTACTCGACGCGATGCAACTTGCATTCGCCCGAGAGAGCGGGCCGCAGCGCAAAAGCTGCAGTTGCGATTTGAGGTCGTTAAACATTTCTGGGACCCTAATGGATCTTCGCAAGCCCAACGAGTTCTTGCTGGGTGGCGACTCGCAGCAGGGAGATCACGACCGGCCCTCGAATCGATTGATTTTTAGTGGTTCCGAGCGCGTCAACTATTAGACCGTAAGTGTAGTGAATATTTTTTGCTCGGAAGGGGGCAGTGATGTTCCCCCGCTGTATGTCGAAATCCGGCGTCAATCTACTGTCGGCTAGCGGGGTTTCCTCCAACCAGGTATCTCCCACCAGCGGGGCACTCCCCCAGCCGGGAGGAGCTCTAAGCTCCCGACTGGTGTCCCGGCATGTGAATCAGTGTAGTGCATGCTAGTGTATGTGTGTGTAAAGGGTGAGGATAGAGCAAGACAGAGGAAGGAGAAATCGCACGCGGTCCCGTGGCCCGTTTGTTAGGGTACTACTCCTGCATGCACCTGGCGTTGATCGAGAAACCTCGCAAAATTACCCGCCACTATAAGTCTCCTCCAGACAGCGACTGAATTCGATCTGACTGACAGGATAGTGTTGAAAATACTGCCATCGTCGGAACTCGAACCTAGGGCCTCCCGGTCAGAGAGACTGCACCGGCTCTGTGAAGCGCGCAGATCCAGCGAGGCGTCCCTCCCCGTGCCGCGCCGTCGCGCAGCGCCGCGTCGAAGCTTCGACCGCTTTGGAATCTTCGTGAGCAGTTTCGTCGATAGTCGCGTTTGAACAGCCGGCGCGACGCCAAACAAGCCCGCTACTCGCCCGCATGCGACTTGTGTACAATTAAACGATTCAGTAAACACTACGGGCGGGCCCTGAAAGACGACAAAAGGCGGCGGCGGATAGTTGACATGCAAACGCGAGTGCAGCGCGCCAGAAAGTTCTTTAAATTAATTTCGGGCTCCGTGTTTGTCCTCGGCGAACCGATTATTATGGAACCATAAATCCGCGCGCCTTTATTGGAAACGAGCGAAATGGAATCATAGCGACGTTGAGCGAAAAATCAATCCCCCGCTGGCCTTGCGCCAAAAGTAATTAAGAATTCAAGATGCTCTCGATATTACTAAATCGTCCCATAATTCAATGCAAATAGTGCGGGGCGTTTCACGCGACTTTAAAACGCGCGGCCGTAAACCTCCTCCCTCCGCAGGCGCCCGCGCGCCCCACACCTTTCACTCGCACGCTCTGATTTATCACGCGCGCGCCTCCCAATCCGTAAATTCGTCACAGGAAATTACGTATCCGCTCCGGAGATGCGATAGCACTGTGTGAGATCAGCAGAGCACAGATCGGTTTGACCCCTTCCCCCCCCCACTGAGAGACATCACATCCAAAGCATTTTGCAGACGCCCTCGAGCCGACGCTCGCAATAACTCAACAACGCACTTAACGAGAGAGAAAGAAGAAGCCGTCCGCTCTCGAAGCGTGTTTAGGCGCGGACCCGTGTAGGTGTACTTTAAAAGAGTTAATATAGGAAGATGAAAGGACTTGAGAGGCGGGGCGTGGGGCGGGGCGGGGCGATAGGACCGACAGCGTCCGGGGGCATAAAACATAATAATTGCCTTTATGTGGCCCGTGATTCACCGTTGACAACTGCAACCTTCCAAAATGAGAG